TGCATAAGCATAATCATTTCAAATATTCAAATAAGCTAATTTTCAAGTGGGTTAATCACAGTTCTCTGTTGGGAAGAAAGCATGTTCAAAATGTAAAATACATTCCTGCAAAATATTGCACCAGAGAAGGAGGTATGACTACGTTTGAGATCAGGGGAAATAGAAACTTGGATAAACCCTGTCCACAGCATTTATTTTGAGAGAAAGAGGAGGACCTGAGTCTGCTGTGTTAACTTATTATTTGAAATACAAGACCCTAAGAAAGAGCAAAGCAATCAAGGAAATAGAGATTAGGGCTCAGGTGAAAGAAACATTGCTGTTCCCAGTGAGGAATCCAGAATGAAGTCCATGTGATGAGAAATGACCATGAAGCCATGGCAGATGATGACAAATGGCAAGAAAGCTTACTATACACAGAATGAAAAATACCACCACCTACAGCTGCTACTATACAGTTACTTAAAGGGCAGTCTCATTTCGTTTAGAACGCTGACAGATATACAAGATAAATATCTCCTCAGACTCTCTCTCTGCCTTCTTAATCTATCACTGTAAAGAAAGCTTGGAAAAAAATATTTGAACAATAATCCAAAGGAATTTTCAAGAATCACAAAACCAACATAATAGAATTTATTATACCAAGGAGCACTTCGAAAAGTATATGTTGAATGTTAATGAATGTACAGGAACTCATAATTAAATATCACTTAATTCTTTTCAATAAATATCTTAGTTTTTAAGGAAGCACAAGTAAGGTCAATAGCGTGAAGCCTAGTCTTAATCTCACTCTTATTGATCACTATCAAACTTAAAAGATCTAATCTATGGGCACTGAAACGCTGCTGTCAACAATTCTATAGAATGAGCTCAATTTTCTCTACCAATAAATCTAGACAGAATTTCCTGGGAAGCGTAATAAAATGCAGATTCTTGAGCTCCACCCCAGACCAAATGAAAGACTCTCTGGAGGTGGGGCTTTGAAATACAAATTAAACTCTCAAAGAAATTCTTAACACACACTATAGTTTGGGAACCAGTGCTTTACATTTTACCCTTAGACAGAATATGTACCTTGATGGGAGTTTAATCTGTATTTATTCTTTAAGATCCAACTCAGGGGTTATCTTCTCCAGGGAGAATTTTCTGAACGCCATGTGGTACTCTTCTACTAAACCTGCATCATCCTGTGACTCGCTTCCTAGCTTAGCATGCAAGCTTCGCGAGGGCAAAGACTTTGTCCAATTTAGTATCATCTCTGTGCCCAATTTAGTATCATCTCTGCATCTGTAGCACTTAGAACAATACAAGGCACATAGTGGGTACTCTTATAAATGTATATGAAATGAAGGAATAAATAAATCCATAAAAATTGAGACATAGGACAGTATAATTAATCTTTTCTATAGGGAATTCAGTTCAATTCAGTATTTATCCTGTGCCTACTATGCGTAGGGGGCACATAGAGATAATAAGACTAGGCATTAACTACTCCCAAGGGGAAGAGACATATGCAATGAAATGAGCTGTAATCTAATTTTAAACCTTAATAAACCTTAATAAAGTTAAACCCTAATAAAGGGTATAGAAGAAGCATAAATAAATTGCAATGAGAACACAAAGGAAGACAAGAGTCTTTCCTCTCACCACTGATATGGGCAAGACATGTGCTAATGGATACATGCTATCCTCTTCACAGGGCAGAAAGGTGGTCATACACAATGAAAATATCTTGGATTCCTGAAAGTGGACAAGGATCAGAATAAATTAATGCACTTTCAGAATACAAGGAAGTATAGGCTAACCTGGTAGAATAAATTAAATCCCCAAGTCTTCGAAAACCAATCATCTACAAATACAACACAAAAGTACCATTTGTGTTCTGAGAAGAAAAGCAATCTCTAATCTTTTGTGCTGTATTTCTTTCCCAAGCTCTGTTTGTTTTTTCCTTCTCTTTTTCTAGTTCTGCCATTCAACTAAGGTGGGTGGATTATCGATGAGTATAATGTTGTCCTGTTATTCTGGCAGCTAATAACGAGGGATGCAAATGCAAGATGCATAGTTCAGGTTTTAGGGTAATTTATACCTGGATTCTAATCCCAGTTCTACCACTTACTGGATGCCCTTGGGCAAGTCTGGTTAACCTCTATGCTGCAGTTTCTTCACCTATAAAATGTTGATAATATTACTTACCTCATAGTATTGCTGAGAGAATCAAACAAAATAATAAACATTGTGCTAAACCTTAGTAAATTATAGCAGTTACCATCATTATTATACATGTTGGTGGACACAAATGATGTTTTAAAGTTAATTAAAAAAATACTCTGTAGCATGTTTTAACCTTGTGCTCAATATTTACTTTGGTTGGTGATGATGCTACTGATGGCTACATCCAGTGTAGGCCATGGGTAAACTGGGGACAGTAAATGGGAAAAAAGAAACAAATAAAAAGTTTTGAGTAATAACTAACAATGTGAAATACTATCAATGAGAAAAATTGCTATGAATTGATGATCTAATCTATGTAGAAAAATGGCAATTTTGTGCAAGTGGATTTGTGTGATTTCTATTCATATCTGGATAGAGATCTTCAACAAAATTTGTTGGTGACTACTGCTCTTACTTCATGTAAAATTTACACCTTTGAATAGCTTATCTCAAGTGCATTTGAAAAACTATGATATCATTTGGTCTCCATCTTCATCTTGAAGAACACCCTCAATTCTACAGCCTTTCTCCCATTGGGGCTATCTTACTTTGTAATCGTTGACTACGCTTCTGATTCACTTGATAATTGAAATGAAAATGATGGAAGTGTCAAAAAAATGATTTAATATCTGCACTAGGCTGATGAAGCTGCCCTACCAGGCCCTACACTTCCACATACGTACATCAATCAGGGTAGTTCAGATACTTTCTCATTGGTTTTTCTTTTTTAAAATTGTAGTCCATTTATTATTTTTGTCACCAAATACAACATTATTGAGAATGCATAATAAGAAAATATGCAAGTGGATTCCACACAAAATGTGGATAGTACAGGAGACCAAGATTACAGAAGAAAGTTTCTGAAAGGTAAGAGGGTATTACTCTAAAATTCTTTACTGACTTGAAGTACATTTTGTTTCTTGGGAAGTAGTAAACAACTACATTTTGCAGCTCATTTGGGAGAAAAAGTCTGCAATTCCAGGCTCAGGAGTTACATGAATGACAGTCACAGTCAACTGCCATATTGGACTATCTCATTTTGTTATAAAACTTAGGAGGTTTTAAGAGAACAATAAGAAAGTGGGCCATCTTCCTCAAGTTTCTGAGAAAATACCTGCTGCCCATCAGTGGGCCCCCATTTGCTGTAATTACTGTGATAGAAGATTGTACCTTTAAGCCTCATGCAAATTCAAGCACACAACAGAGCAGCAGTGCTGTCCTACAGGTTAGATTCAGTGGAGTGAGGTGGGTCTCTTGAGCCCTACTTAATCTTTTTCTAAAAGAACAGACAAACTTTTGGGAGTAATTACTCTAAATTGTGTCAGTCCACAGGATATATATATATATATATATATATATATATATATATATA